AAAAAAAAAAAAAAAAAAAAAAAGCAATAATTCAGAAATAGTCATTTAAAAAATAATAATATATTTAAAAATAATAAAATTAATATTTAAAAAAAATGATTTGGACCTTGGGATGCCTGCCATTTGCAGGGTTCGCCTTTTGTCTCTGTGGATTATGTAAGGTTATAATCCTGTGCGTTTGTTTGTAGAATTGTGCGCCACGTGGATGTCCAATAACCGTCCGATTTAATGTCTGAGTGATGTCATTGTCCAATCGCGAGTGGGGGCTGCTGACACATCACCTGTCTTTTCTGATTGATTTTGACCTCTGGATCTCTCTCTAGATTGCGTATCTTTTTTCTCTCCCTGCTTTAAATTAATCAACTCCATTAATTATTATTATTAAATATACCCTCAACTATATAATTTAATTTTAAAAAATTTAAAAATATTTTCATACATTTCTAATTCTTTTTATCCCATTAATTAATAAAGTTGAAAAAAAAAAATACAAAACAAAAAAACTTACAAAGAATTGGAAATTCATCCTGTTTTGCTTGGAGCAGTTCTATGTCGGATGACTTTAAGTATATAACACCCCTACTTACAGCTAGCAGATATTGTAACCATTCAAGCCCACTACTAGTAGATATTATCTGCTTTAGTCAGTTACATATTGTCATCACTCTCACGATTTTAAAACGCGCATGTAGAATGCTTCGTTTCTCTTCCCATTCGATGTGAGATCTCCCAATCCACCTATTTTGAAGGTCCAACATTCTCATTGGCACATATTTTAGTGTCTGGCTAGCAAATATTGTGAACGTATCTTATCTTCAAGAAGTAACTAACTATACCGTCAATAATAATAATAATAATAATAATAATAATAATAATAATAATAATAATAATAATAATAATAAGAAGAAGAAGAAGAAGGTGAAAAGAGACAGGAAGTAGAAAGAAAACATGCACATCAAAATAACAAAAAAAAAAAAAGAAAGGAAGCGTGTTTTCAGACAAGACCAATCACTTCAATCCCAACACACAAACACACACACATTTCTCCCACTTCATCATGAAATTAAAAATAAAAAATAAAAAAATTGAAGTAAATTCAATATTAGATTATTAATTATTTTATTAAATTTAATTATTATTAAAATTTAAAAAAAGAGAGAGAGAAAAAAAACAAGAGCTAAAGAGTGACCCCTCAATTTCCAAGTAACACAGTTGAGTTACTGGTCCATTTGCTTGAGTGGATACGGCATCTAACCTCAAAATTATGAAACCAAAATCATAAAGTTTCCATTTTTCCTTCGAGTTTTCAACAAATCAAACCCACTGCACCGCCGCCGCCGTCCTACGCCGGAGCTCCACCAAGCTCCATAGAAGAAGAAGGACCAGAACCCAGCTCAAAGGCAGCTCTGTTCTGTATTTGTCTGTTCGGTCGGGTGTCTCTTTTATACGCTTCCCTTTCTTTCTTGTCTCTCTGGCCTACAATCGAATAATTTATTTCCCAAAAGTTCTTGAAGTGAACCACTCTTCATCTAATTCTTTTCCACTTTTTTTTTTTTTTTTTCATTTTCTCAAGCTTTCGAACCTCTCTGTTTTTTGCGGTTTCAATATACAAGAGGAATCTTCTTATGCTGGCCGGCGATGCCGACGCCGGTGAGCGCTGCGAGGCAATGCTTAACAGAGGAGGCAGCGAGGGCTTTAGACGATGCTGTCTCCGTCGCCCGCCGCCGCTGCCACGCTCAAACTACCTCCCTTCACGCTGTATCTGCTTTACTGTCTTTGCCGTCCTCCGCCCTACGAGATGCCTGCTCACGTGCCCGCAGCTGCGCGTACCCACCACGCCTTCAGTTCCGAGTACTGGACTTGTCCGTCGGCGTATCTCTTGACCGTCTCCCTTCCTCAAAACCCACCGACGAGCCACCGGTTTCGAACTCCCTCATGGCGGCGATTAAACGATCGCAAGCTAATCAACGGCGGCACCCGGAAAGCTTCCACCTTTACCAGATTCATAATCAGCAACAAACCCCCTCGATTTTGAAGGTCGAGTTGAAATATTTCATCTTGTCGATTCTTGATGATCCGATTGTGAGTAGGGTTTTTGGGGAAGCCGGATTTCGAAGCTCCGATATTAAATTAGCGATAATCCACCGTCCTCTCTCCGACCACCCTTCCCGATTCTCCCGCTCCGCCCGTTTCCCTCCCATTTTCCTCTGTAATCTCACCGATTCCGATCTGGGTCACCGGAATTTCCCCTTCCCTTTCCTTGCCGGATATGAAAACACCGACGGCGATGCCAATTCGCGCCGAATCGCGGAGGTTCTGATGAGAAAAACAGAGAAAAACCCGTTGTTGGTCGGCGTCTGTGCTGCCGATGCTCTCCGGAGCTTCATCGATTCCGTTCAGAGATCCAAATCGGGAATTCTTCCCCGGGAAATTTCTGGGTTGAGAGTAATTTCAATCGAGAAGGAGATTTCTGAGTTTCTGAATCGAAAACGAAGCAGAGAGACAATGGAATTGAAGTTCGAGGAGGTTTTTGGGATTGTCCAGCAATGTTCAGAGCCTGGGATTGTCGTGAATTATGGAGAATTGAGCGGTTTTATCAGACAAGAACAGGAACAAGAACAGGAAAATGGAATGAGCTTTGTCGTGTCTCAACTGACAGCTCTGCTGAAGCGTTACAGCGGGAGAGTATGGCTGATTGGAGCTGTCGGGACATACAAAAGACACGAGAAGTTTCTGGTTCGGTTTCCCGACATCGAAAAGGATTGGGATCTTCATCTTCTTCCCATAACTTCCAAGTCTATGGCTGATGCATTTGGGACTAAATCCAGGTGAGTTTTTATAAGCTTTTTTTTAATTTAATGAAGATCTTCTGCTGATTACTGCAATCATTTTAGTCGTTTAATCAACGCGACATCGTTCATTTTTGTCGTTATACTTTCAAAACGTTCATTTTAGTTGAATGTATGTTGTAATTTGCAGCTTGATGGGGTCTTTTGTTCCATTTGGCGGATTCTTTCCTTCACAATCGAATTTCTCGAGTCAGTTATGCAGCTTGAATCAACCGTTTGTTCGTTGTCAGCAATGCACGGAGCAATACGAGCAGGAAGTTGCTGCTATAGGGAAGCCAGGATTCGGTACCGTCGTCGGTCGTCGCTCGGAAAGTTCCTTGCATATGCCATTGATTGAACTTGATGCAAAAAGCAAGGAGCATGACAAGGTAATTGGCTTACAAAAGAAGTGGAACGATATCTGTCGTCTTCATCGAAGGCAGCTATTCCCTAAACTTGGTGTTTCCGAGACGAGGAACGGGATGTCGTTTGAGCCGAGTCGATTTGCTTTAGATCATGAAAGAAGTGGTGAAGAATCATTGTCTATAACTGCAAATCCTTGCTTAGATAGAGACTTGCATAACAATTTCGACACGAATCCGAGCAGGCTGATATCGGAGATTCCCGACATTCGTACCGATATTATTGAATCGAAGTCTGTCGGTCCGAATGGGCGTCTTCACTCTGTTACTACTGATTTGGGTTTGGGGACATTGTATGCATCTGTCAACGAGAACAAGAGAAAAGTTGCAGAACAGGAAAATCAGAAGGTGGTTCATCACTTAACAGGCTCGAATCCAGCTGAGTTTAGTAGACGATGTGTCGATAATCCGAGGCAATCTCCCGGTTTCTCCGATCTGAATCCTGGATATCCGCTCGATATAAGAGAATTCAAGTCACTTTGGAATGCACTGAATGAAAAAGTCAGCTGGCAAGGTAAAGCCACGAGTTGTATTGTCGAAACCGTTCTTCGATGTCGAGCTGGTTGTGGAAGGCATCGTAGCTCGAATTCGAGGGGAAATATTTGGTTAACGTTCCTCGGTCCTGACATAATAGGAAAGCGGAGAATTTCCTTAGCACTTGCGGAGTTGTTGTTTGGAAGCCACGAGAACATCATCTCGGTTGATTTTGGCTCACAGGACGGTGATCGACGACGAAACTCGCTCTTCGACTGCAAAGGTTTTGATGGTTACAACGAGCAGTTTCGGGGACAAACTGTTGTTGATTATGTCGCTGCAGAGTTGAGGAAGAAATCGTCGTCGGTTGTCGTTTTAGAGAACGTAGACAAGGCCGATATTCGGGCTAGGAGCTTCTTGTCCGAGGCTATTACGACCGGTAAGTTCCCGGATTCGCACGGGAGAGAGACTACCATCAATAATACAATCTTCGTGATGACATTGACGAACGAAAAGTTCGAGAAAACCGCAGATGAGCAGACAGAATTCTCTGAGGAGAGAATACTTGCAGCTAGAAACTGTCAACTGCAAATACTAGTACGAGGTTGTACCAGTGATGTCAGTAGCTGCAACGACATGAATGTAAGGATTACGTCTGCCCCACGAGGAACCTCGAGCCTCTCAATGAAAAAGAGGAAACTGGATGACGAATCCACCGAGCGGGAAGCAAGCTCGGAAATGCCGAAGAAGTCGTCGTCGTCGTCGTCATCAATGTCCTTCCTAGACTTGAATCTCCCTGTAGAAGAGGCGGAAGAAGATGGTGATTGCGATAGCGACTCGGTATCAGAAAGCTCAGAAGGATGGCTCGACGAGTTCCTCGAACGAGTAGACGAAAGGGTGGTGTTCGAACCGTATGATTTCAAGGGGGCAGCAGAAAGAGTAGCGAAGGAGATCGGGTTGCAGTTTAGAAGGGTGTTCGGGAGCGAGGTCGTGCTGGAGATCGAGTACGATGTCGTAGTCCGAATCGTTGCGGCGAAATGGGTATCGGAGAAGAAGAGAGTGATGGAGGAATGGGTGGAGATGGTTCTCCATAGAAGCTTTGTTGAAGCAGAACGAAGGTACCAAATGGGGCCTGGTTTTGTGATGAAACTTGTGTGTAAAGAAGAACAAGCTGATGGGATTCTTCTTCCTTCTATAATTGAATTGAATTGAATTGTAATGTAAATTATTATATTCGTAGAATCTAAGTTTTAGCTTTTTGGTTAATCAATCAAATCTCGAGCGCTCGAGTATTTATAGGTTGGGTTTGTTAGATGAACATGACTCTCCCCACTCCCGCTCCACTTTGAGCATAAGCTCTCATGGCTAGGGCGGCTTGCTCTGACCAAGACTCCACTTTTTGCTCCGTCCATAGAGCGTATGAATTTCCTAGAATCGAAAAAGTCCCCTTCCAGTGGAGAGATAGTATTCTCTTTATGCAACACCTCCTCGAGGCTCGACTCCTTTTCTTTTGGAGTCTTAGTCATTTGAGGATTCTATTAACATGGGCATGACTTTGATATCATGTTAGATGAACACGACTCTCCACAATGGTATGATATTGTCCACTTTAAGCATAAGCTTTCGCGGCTTTGCTTTGGGCATCCCCAAAAGATCTCGTTCCAATGGAGATAGTGTTCCTCGATTATAAACTCATGATCATTCCCTAAATTAGTCGATGTGAGACTTTCATCCAACAGGGTTAGAAATTTTTTTGATCAATTTGAAATTTTGAATTGATTGGGTCAGTGCCTCGAGTAATGGAATAGAATTGTAACCTGCCTAAGCCGATCATTAACCGATATTGTCTTCTTCGAGACTTTCATCGTAGGTTTATAAATATATTGGTTTTAAATTTTTTTTTTTTATAAAAGTAAATAATGTTAATGTGCTTTTGAAATTTTATGAGTATTTTTTAAATATAATAGTAACTATAAAAGTATTTTTTTAAAAAAAAATTGAAGGGTATTAATGAACATTTTCAAAGTTAAAAGGGTATTTTTGAAATAAAGTAACGTACGTTTTCATTCCAACATGATGGAAAAGTTTTTTTTTTTTTTTTTTTAATTTAAGAGTATTATCGAAAATTTTAAAAGTATTTTTTTTTAGGAATTACAAAATTTAAGACTATATTTCTTAATTTAACCTTATAAAATAATGGTACAAAATTTATAAATAAATTTGTTGAGAAATTAATTAATATTAGTTTATATTGAAGTGAAATATAATGAATGAATTGTGTTTATAAAAAATAATAATAATAATCTAAAAAATTTGTGCTTTTGAACGAAAAATTCGAAGAACAGAGTCTCTGTTCTAACCGGTCGCGAATTCGAATTCAAATTGGAACAATGCATTTGAAATTAGAATGTAAATTTTCCCGTTTGATTTTGGTTGAATTTCTGGTCAATTTAGTAACTAGAATTCGAAATTTACAGTTAATGATTGATGTTCAGATGAAGATCAATCATACATTTGTTCTACAAATTCATCTATCAATCCTTCAAGAATATACCAATCAAAACCTTCAATTATACCTCCAGCTTCAAGTTCTTCATGTTCTTCGCAAATTTCGCTGCATTTCCAATTCGATTCGCCCAAATCCATCTCTGTTATCTTACGAATCTCTTCTTCGAATCTTTCCCGCTGGATCTCGTATTCAACCACTTTCGTCTTCGCGATTTTACTTTCGTTGATTATCAAATCATCGTCATTTCGAGATGGACTCCGAGGAATTTCGAGCTCCAGTGATAATTTCCTTCTAGGGTTTATGGGGGAATTTGAAGCGGCGTTTCCTGAAAATAATGGCGCTGATTCTTCGGGATCTGTGAGGAATTTACCACTGTCGAGAACTGAAATTGGGCTTAGTTCATCGGAGCTGCACTCTGATTCTACTTTTCTGGTTGATTTCTTGTTTTCTTTCAAATCTATTAGGATGAACTGCTTGGCTTCTTCCGGATCGAATCTCTTCTTCTTTGTCTTTCTGATCCTTTGGCTTCTTTGTTTTGCTCTGAATTCTTTACTTCTGATTTCTCCTTCAAAGCTAAGGATGAAGTATTCTTCGTTTTCAAGCTCAAGAAACGTGGGTGTCTCTTGAAATGACTGTGTTGATCTGACTCGTTGATGTTTGCCTTCCAGGTGTTTGTAGAAATGCCCCACAGAGTTCATGGATTGGCTCCTTGCTATCGAATTATGATTTTGCTTCAGCTCTGGCAAGGGATCCAAGCCCATTAGTCTCGCCACAATTCCAGATGATGTGGGTTTGACATTCAAATCCTTGACTTGAAGAAGCTTCTCATCAGACTTCACTGAGCTAGTGTCGTCTGTGATCCGATCGGTGGGGTGCGTCGGGAGGGTACCGGAGCAGAGAATTCGGCGGAGAATTCCCGAAAGACAGCTCGGTGTAGCTAATGCAGCTCTGGGGTTGCAGCCATGAGCATCAGAAGTGGAGGTGGAGAAGGAGGAAGAGGAAGAGGAAGAGCATGATGGAGAGGGCAACAACTTCATGCTGAGTCCAGGTTAGTAACGTAAGAAATCCAGTTTGAAAATGAATTACATAGAACAAAGTGAAGAAGAGAAATTTGAATGGGTTATGATGAAAAGTAAGAAAGAAAGAAAAAGTGGCGGGCTGTGTGTTTGAATAAGCTGCCTGGCCTTGTTGATTATGTCTGCTTCCACTGTTGATGGGTCAATTTGTTCTGTTTTGTTGTCTTCCTAACTGACTCGAAACATTCAAACAAGCATATTCCATTCTCCTTGCTCATTGCATGATCATAGCAACTTTTGATGTAGACTATGATTTGTTAGCAAAACCCCTACCAACTTTTGATGTAGACCATGATTTGTTAGCAAAACCCCTACCAACTTTTGATGCAGACTATGATTTGTTAGCAAAACCCCTCCCGACATCAGTTATTTGTTGTTCGAGTATAGATGGTATAGGGGGCCTTCACTGAAGTTTACGGTGATTGTGAGATCCCACATCAATTGGAGAGGAAAACGAGTGTCAACAAAAACGCTATAAGAGTGTGGAAAACATTTTTTATAAGGGTGTGGAAACCTCTCTCTAGCAGATGCGTTTTAAAAACCTTGTGTAACAACCCAAATCCACTACTAGTAGAGATTGTCATTTTTCGGCTTTCCCTTTGGGCTTCCCCTCAAGGGTTTTAAAACGCATATGCTAGGGAGAGGTTTCCACACGCTTATAAAAACTGTTTCGTACTCCTTTCCAACCGATGTGGGATCTCACAATCCACCCCCCTTCAAGGCCCAGCATCTTAGCTGACACTTGTTCCCTTCTCCAATCGATGTGGGACCCTTCAATCCACCTCTCTTCGGGATCAGCCTCCTTGTTGGCGTATCGCCCCATGTCTGGCTCTCTTACCACTTGTAACGGCTCAATCTCACCGCTAGCAGATGTTGTTCTTTTGGGCTTCCCCTCAAAGTTTTTAAATCACGTTTGCTCGGGAGAAGTTTCCACACCCTTATAAAGAACGCATCATTCTCTTCTCCAACCGATGTGGGATCTCACACCTTGAGGGAAAGCCTGAAAGGGAAGGCCCAAGAAGACAATATCTACTAGCAGTGGGTATGTGTTGTTAGAATGACACTGCTCAACAAAGTCTATGCCCATTAGAATGAAAAGAGCATCCATCAACTCGCTTTGTAATCATTCCTACTTAAGAAGACATGCCATTTTATATGCTGAAAACTGTGTTTGCTTTGGTTTGGGGATTGGAGATTGAGTAGTGATGCAATGTTCTGACTCAAAATTCTCTCTGTCTCTCTCTTTGTCTCTCTCTCTCTTGGGTTTGCAGCCGAAAATGGTGACCGGTGATTGCTTTTGTTCAAACTGAGCAGCAGCCACTCTCCAGACCAGCAGCAGCAGCAACAACAGGGAGTGAAATATTTAAGTGGCAATGCAATGTTGGAGGACCATAAGACCGTGCGCTTGTCCAAACCGACCAGCTCTGGTAAGATCATGATTCCCTTTTAACATTAGAATATAACACTCAACTAAATGGTTATAGTTTTGAATCTACTCGGGGCATTGTCCTGGACATTGAACTCCAAATCATTAGTAAGGTCCTAGTTCAGGGTAAGTGGAGTTGTATAACAAACATAGGCTCGACTTTGATATATGAAGCTGTGTTTCCCTTTAGGGGCTCGCGTTTTGTGGAGTCATAAAATTAGAATATAACACTCGACTGGAAAGTTACAATTTTAGTTCTTAGTTCAGGGTAAGCGGAGTTGTATAACAAACTTAGGCTCGACTTGTGAATTCTTCCTTGCTAATGGAAAGATTGGTGGGACACAAGCTCTACAGCTTAGCTCACTGTGGTCGGTGGCCCTCGCTTTCCCATTTGATCCTTTGGGCCTTCTTTGTGTTTAAACCCTAAACCCTAAACCCTATTATATCCATTCATTTCTTTTTTTCTTTTTTTTTTTTGGGGAAAATTTCTAGCCTTCATAGGATGACATTTGTTCACCAAAACTATATAGATTTGATTTAAATAAATTAAAATTTCCCGGGTCGAGTTTGGTTATAATTATTTCAATTTGGTTTGAATTTGGTATATCAACCGTAACAGTCCTCCTGAATTAAAAAAAATACAAATGTAGTTCAAACGATGGAATTGAGCCCTAAAACGTCCTTGGTAACTTAACCTAATTTAACATATGAAATTGGAGAAGTTTAAACCTCTGATCTCTTAGTTGAGCATATACGACCAATTGAGCTATGCTCGTATAGTGTCCTCTCTCTATGTTTGATTGAATAAGTAATTCAATTGGTTTAGATCATAGGTCGAAGGTTGAAATCTTAACTTATACCTTTGTAAATTTGATGAAGGTTCCAGAATGTCAATTTAAGCCTAGCTCAACTGATTGAAATATATATATTTATAATCATAATTTTAATTAAACACTCGTAATTCTTTAAGATCACCATTAAACTATAATATGATTTTTTACTCTTAGATTTCATTCTATTTTAACTCACGTACGGGAATTCAACCCCTAAAATTTCAATAAATATACTCTTAATAAATTTAAATTTAAAGTTTTTAATTTTAATAATAATAATAACAAAATATATTTATTACAAAAAAAAAATTAAGATTTATTGAAAATATATGAACTAAAATTATACGAAACGGAAAATATAATTATTTTTTTCGAGAATCTCGTATGTGTGAAGAGAAAGAAAGGAGGAGGGAGAAACAAAAAACTTTCGGTGACGAATAAAAGATTAGAAACGTCTTGAAGTGATTTTCAAGCTTTCGGTTTGAACTTTCTTTCCTATTTTCTATTCCATTATTTTTAAAATATTATTAAAAAGAAAATTAGGCATGTTTTTATAAAAACCAAATTACTTTAATTATGGTAATTCAAAACCCGAAATTAAATATTAAAAAAAAATATTTTTCCCTTTAATAACAAAAAAGGGTATGTTTGAAATAATGGAAAATAAAAAGAAAATAAAAAAAAAAAGCAAAAAAGCAAAAAGAAAAAAGGAAAAAGGAAAAAAAAAAGGGAACAACTTTAAATATGAAAGTGAAAGGACAAGTGAGTGGTGGAACCCAACTGTAATAATATAAAATAATATGCCCCTCTTAAATAATAATAATAAATAAATAAATAATTCTTATGCCCACTCCTCAACTCTTATTTATTTATTTATTATTATATTTCAAATTTAATTTCGACCATCAAAATTTTAGACAGTTAGATGTACGAGAGAAAAATTGTAAAAGTATTTGAATCTGTGACATCCCGAGAGAGTTTGTTTTTATCGAATTGATGTGTTAAATATGATTAATTTTATTAGATATAAAATTTTAATTTTACGTGGAAATTTATTTTTTTAAAAATAGAATATAATTTTAAAAATAAAAAAGGAATATTTATATGATTTTCCCCATTTTTGGAATATACTTTTCATTTATTCTTTGAGCTACCCTCCTATATAAAAAATGATATCTTTTAGTACTTCTCAACCACAATATTTAATTTTATTAATATAATATTTAATTTTATTAATATAATATTTGATTTTATAAATATCTATCATTTTTAAATGTCTATTCAAGTGATAACTTTCATATATATATATTATTTATAATTAACTTAGGGCCCATTTCCCCTATTTAATGAAATCATTTTTTAATAATTGTTCTATTTTAAAAAAAACATGAACACTTCATTCATATATATATATATATATATATATATTTGTAACGACTCAGATTCACGTTAGCAGATATTGTCTTCTTTGAGCTTTTTCTTCGGGCTTCCCCTTAAGGCTTTAAAATGCGTCTTCTAAGAGAAAGTTTCCACACCCTTATATAGGGTGGTTTGTTCTCGTCCCCAACTAATGTGGAACAACACAATCCACCCCCTTCTGGGCCTAGCCTCTTTACTGGCACATCGCCTCGTGTCTACCCCCTTTGGGGAACAGCGAGAAGGCTGACATATCGTTCGGTGTCTAGCTTTGATACCATTTGTAATATTGTGATGTCCCACATTAGTTGGGGAGGAGAACAAACCACCATTTATAAGGGTGTGGAAACCCACCCCTAGCAGACATATTTTAAAGTCTTAAGGGAAAGCCTGAAACAAAAAATGCAAAGAGGACAATATCGGTTAGCGGTGGTATATATATATAAATTAATAAAAATATATAACACCCTTGAAATAAAAAAAAAAAAAAAAAAATCGTTTTGATGTCTGAAAAATACTAAAAAGTGTTTAAAAATTCTATTTGAGTTTTGAAAAGTACAAAAAAGATGTTGAATTTTGTATTAAAAAAGAAGTAACTTTAATCTAAAATCAAGAATGGACCAATCGAAGAATTCAATGGCTTGGGAAGAGAAATCACTCACTAAATGACAAAAAAATAAACGTCCTTTCGGTTAGGTGAACAGAGCCTAGAACTCGGTCGAACTGGGTCAACTATCGTGCTTATACTAATTGTAAATACCTCGCATAAATCCATCAAATAATTAATAATTCTATAATAAAGAGAAAAGAAGTTATCCATTTACGACCCAACATAAAGTCGTATGGATTGAAGGACTACTAAAGCTATGAAAAAAGAATTCATTGTAATGCGTACTAAAATTAATGTCTTCCATTAATGTCCGGAAAATGTTTTTTTTTTTTTTTTTTTTGGTTAAAAAAAAAACATGAATTTGGCCGACTTTCATAATCATTCAACACAACACAGATCATTCTAGTGTTAGTTTGAAAATAAGCAATTTTAGTCTCGAAATTTGATCCCAAGAAACACAACACAGATCATTCTAGTGTTAGTTTGAAAATAAGCAATTTTAGTCTCGAAATTTGATCCCAAGAACTATTTTGGTTACAAACCAAGCAGACACTAAACTGAAATACAACTCCGATACCCGAAACAGATCGAAAGGATTGTTACTCTAATTTCGTGAGATACCCATCAACGAAAACCATAAAAACAATGAAAAGCAACATCAAACAAGCATATCGCG